AAACTTCCCTGAAATCTCGGAGGTTATGGAACATCTGGAGTTTTTAAATTTATCAGATACAGCGGTTAAAGAGCTACACCCATCAATTGAAAATCTAGTTGCGCTTCGAGAATTAGATCTCAGTTCTTGCGAGAACCTTGAGGTTGTCTCTGATTACCTCTTTCGCTTAACCTCATTACAAGAGTTAAATCTCCATTACTGCTCCAAATTTCAAAACTTCCCTGAAATCTCGGAGGTTATGGAACATCTGGAGTTTCTAAATTTATCAGGTACAGCGGTTAAAGAGCTACACCCATCAATTGAAAATCTAGTTGCAATTCGAAAATTAGATCTCAGTTGTTGCAACCTTGAGGTTGTCTCTGATTACCTCTTTCGCTTAACCTCATTACAAGAGTTAAATCTGAGTTCGACCAAAATTAAGAGCTTACCTGCAAGCATCAAACAAGCTGCTCAGCTGTCTCGCCTATGCCTAAGATATTGCTGGAGCCTTGAATCTTTACCAGAGCTCCCCCCATTGCTGCAACATCTTGAAGCAGATGTTTGCACGTCACTGAAGACAGTGTCAAGTTCAAGCACTGCAATCACACAAGGTTGGGAAGAATATATATTTTCTAGAGGGCTTCATGAGAAACATATATTTTCTTATTGCCCAAAGTTGGATGAGAATGCACGAAGCAACATAATGGGTGATGCACAGCTCAGAATTATGCGAATGGCAATTGCGTCGTCAAAGTTTAAAGAAGACAAAATTGAAGAAGCATATGATTCCTATTATGCAGATCAATCAAATCAATATAAGGTCTCTCTTTCTTTCTTTCTCTCTCTCTCTACCTCACACACACACTGTCTGTATAACTCACTTCTCTTGAAGCAGTTGTTTTTTTTTTTCACGAGTTTAATAATTATGATGTCCATATCCATGGTACAGGAATTTTTTGGCAAGAGATCTTTGGTTGCCATTAGTTGTTGGGGGTATGAAATTCCAGATTGGTTCAGCCATCAAAGTGAGGGGTCTTCAATAAAAATCATGCTTCCTCGTGATTGGTTTAGCACAGATTTCTTGGGTTTCGCTCTATCTCTTGTTCTTGGCCATGGTCATCGGCATTGGTCTGTGGACATTACATGCAAATACAACTTCAAAACTAGTAATGGTGAAAGCCATGAAGTAAACCATCCTTTGAGTAATCTGCGCGGGAATATTGGCATAGATTCACGTGAGGTGTTTGTGTGGTGGTATAATAATGTCTTTGAAGAAGTTGTAGAGGGAGCTCAAAGCCCCGCTGCTTTTTACAAACTTGTTACTGAGGTCAATGTTGACTTCAACCTTGCTTATCAACGCCCCCTCCCCGTTCGGGTTGGGGTGGAGGTGGAAAAGTGTGGGATATGTCTGTTGTATGGCAAAGATGCTGAGATGATAAAGCTGAGGGCTTTGTAAATTCAAATTATCTTTTTATTTGAGCTGTTTGCTTTGCAAGCCTTGTAGCTGAGGATGCTTTTGAGTTTGTTAGGCTTAGGGATGTCTTTCTTGTTTGGCTGAGGATGCTTTTGAGTTTAATTTGTCACGCCCCATGTAAGCCATGTAATATTCTTCATTGAATTCAAGTATTAAATTGTTAAAAGTTAACAGTACTAAATTTTGCATCAATTGGATTTCTGCTTCAAGTTGGAATGGCTTCATTCTTAATCATAAGTAGAGGGCTTTGTCGATCAAGCAGTTATGAATGTTTATCCTTACATTCAAATTTATTTATTGTTTTATGGTTTTGAGGTGCAATATCATTTTTATTTGAGGTGTTTGCATGACTTGTGGCTGAGGATGCCCAAGGTGCTTTTGAGTTGCAAGATCAGTTCATGCCATCCTCATCCTCCTTTTATGTATTTTCTGGTTGTCATATGACTTTGCTGTGTACGAAAACAGCAGGGAACTTATGCACTTGAAGATCGTCCACTTAAGCGCAGTACGGATGAGGTGCCCAACTGGAAGGCTGCTTTGGAGGAAGCAGCCAATATGTCTGGGTTTCATTATTCAAGCAAAACAGGGTAACAAACTCTCTAACTTGTATCAGTTTCTACTTGTTATCATTTGATTCATACTTACTAATACTGTTGTTTGTCTTTCGTAATTATACTAGCAAAGGTGCCCGCGCGATACTGCGGGTTTTAAAACTGTTTGAAATGTGTACGAAGTTCTGAAAATATGTAGCAAGTTTAAGTTACAAAATAAAAACTAATAACATGTTTTATATGTTGCTTGTCATCTTAAAATATTGATCATATTTTATTAAACCAAGTAGCAATCAAAATATCAACAGTTGAGCTGCTCCTTGTTCAAAAGAGTTTGGACATGTCTTTACATATATGCTACTGGTGGGGGAAGGGGATTTTTCTGCCTTGATGTCTGTTGAAATGGGATCTATCTCTTGTTGGCTCTACTGCAGAAGTGGTTTATGTTCTTTCTTTCTTGTCTTTTGCAAGGGTTTTAACTCTGTTGATACAAATCCGATAAATGGCAGGTGTTAGTGTAGATAAATGGAAAATTTTGAGTGAAGACAATAACCATTCACAGAATTAAGTTAAAAAATCAACAGTACAAACAGCAGTTTAGATACATCAAGCATTCTATTAATCTGATGAACAAAGGTATAAGCTCAGTTTATTTAATCAATTGATAACAAATTTAGAACTGTGACAATTTATTAAATAGGTGCAAGGGAATTAAGACAAAACACCCAAGCTCTAATAGAATCAAATCAAGGGGTGTTGATTCTGTTGCTACAAATTTGGAAAATGGTAGGTGTTAGTGTGGACAAATGGGAACATTTTAGCGAAGACAATTGACTATTATTATAGAATGAAGGCAAAAAAATCAATTGCATAAACCACAATTTAAATACGCCAAGCATTGTACAAATCTGGTGGACAAAAGTATAATTTCAGTCATTGCACAAATTATTAAATACCTATAACAGAATGAAACCAAAAGATCCAAACTTTAATAGAATCAAATCAAATACCCATAATAGAATCAAATCCTTCGCAAGTTTGTTGTACATAAGCAGAGATAATCTATAGACACCTATGGTCAAAACTAATACATGTATTGCCATTTATAGGTTAAGTTAATCTAATGAAGAAGTAAGCTGATGTAGTACGAAAATAAACTGTATTGCCATTTATGTCCCAACACCTACAAATCTTAGTAGAATAACACTTGGTTCCACTTGAAATTTGTAGCACAATAGCTACAACTCAAGAAATATAAAATGACGTAATTAGCCTATATGGTAGATTGCAGAATTAACGATAAGAGCTGATCTATCAATAAGACTTGTGTTAACAGTGAGAAATTAATGTTCAAGGAAATACATAGGTTAAAATCAAGTTTGTAACAAATTATTAAAAATGGTATAATAGCAGTTGGCTATGAACAAATTTAAAAGAAAATTCCAAAAAAAAGGATGAAATACCAAACTTTCATTCAAATCAAGAAACACAAATAAAACATTTTGGACAAAAATTTAACTACTTTGAGCATAATATTCAAGGACAATAAGTAAACAAAAAGTTTCGAACGAAAACAGGAAAAATTAAAAAAAAACTTTTTCAACCTTGTCTAGCCTGCAAAGAACCTCCTTCTACTCACAGCCTCTTCTTGACTCTCTTGTACACTGTTAACATCTTGCAAAAACTGAAAAGGCACAAAAAGAAAATAAATGAAAATCACCACAACCTCAACTAAAAACACCAAATGAACTAATGCTTTCTAATTGAACACATTGTAGTGCATAAAACCCAAGAAAAATGTCAAATTATGACCAGATAAATCCTGCATATTTTCCTTATGACAGAATAGTAGGAAATAAAACAATCACTTTACCTATGGAAGCATTTTGTGGAAGGCATTGAAATGAATGGGATCTAAATCACACAGAGTTCTATCAATATCAAATAGCACTGCTTCAAGTGGAGCAAGTCCAGAGAGTGAACTTTTGCTGGTTCCAGAGACACATCAGAGAAGGAAAAAAAAAAGGCAATGAGGCATTAGTACAACAAAAGAATGAAACCAAAAAAATACAAATGTAACATTTGCACCACCTATTTCTCTGTAATTGATCTTTCACATTTTCATTGCTCAATTTGTACACAACATGAGATGATACCAAACATATATACACTTTTGAATAGCTGCGATAATTTATTTAACTACCTTGGGCATAATATTCAGGGAGAATGAGTGAACAAAAAGGGTCTAACAAAAACAGGAAAAATAAAATAAAATAAAAACCATTTTCAACCTTGTCTAGCCTGCAAAGAACCACCTTCTACTCACAGCCTCCTCTTGACGCTCTCATACACTACTACCATCTTGCAAAAACTGAAAATCCACAAAATGAAAATCATCACAATCTCAGCTAAAAACATCAAATGAACACATTGTACTCCATCGTTAAACCCAATAAAAAGGCTACATAATGCATAACCGCTATTTCTTAATCTGGGCTCTCCATATACATATATTTCACAAATTTAAGTAAGAGAAAAGAACTGTAAATCTGTTTGAAACTGAAAAGAAAAGAAAAAAAATCATCCCTGCATATAAGAATAAGAAAAGAAACAGTGCAACAAAAGGAAGTACATTCTATGAGCAAACAATATAGATCAAACTCTATTAGATGACGTACAGAGATAAATATACTCATCCATAAAATAGCTGTCATGCAATAAGAAACAATGGCTATTGTTCTTACAGACTTTATCTTCCCTGTAGAACGTATTTCAAGCCGAAATGTGGCAAAGAATTTTAATGCAATTCCTCCAGATGTCACTTGTGGAGTACCATAGTATACACCAATCTTGCAAAATGAACGAATGATGCCATTAGTTTCTGGAAGTGAAAGAATTGTCATTAGGGGAAAATAACTAATAAAGAAACCTGAAGGAACAATCAAAATCATATGCATCTGAAAAATTAATGACTCAAATTCAGCTGCTTAGACCTAGGCACTCAAATCTCAATTACTGCAACGGACCCAAGCATGGGTCATCATAAATATCTGAAAACTTTAAGGCTCAAAGTCAGCTGCTAAGATATAGGCAGTCAATCTTAATCGTTTCAATGAATCCAAGTACATACCATCCATTCAGCTGCTAAGGTTTCACATCCAGCTTTCTCATAATGCACATTGAATTTGGGCTTCCATTCCCAAAAGCACCTACTTACTGGCGCACCCAATTCGCCTTTGGATTCATCTGGTAGACCAGGAATCAAAACTTTAGTTACTGGTTCCCCTGTTTCTGAAATACTTTCATCCTCTTCCTCTTCCAATTATGTAGCCATCAGAGCTTCCAATTGATAAAATTGGATCAACATGTTTGAAGTTTTCACTGGTGTTTAATGACCTAAAACCTCCTTGGTGATTTAGTTGCTTCAAGAAAGGCTGATCTAAATTGTAACAGCTCAAAAACTTCCTTCTCCCATCAAATTTAGCACCAAAAATTCCGTTTTTTTTTCTTTCTAAAACCTGGGAGACTGAATTGATGTGAACTTGAGCTTTTCACAATCAATTTCCACCTTTAATTAACAGCATTACAGCATGGTGCAGAACTGTATGAGAGTACTTCCATACCCACAAACTGAATTCTGCAATGATCAATCAAAACAATGATTCAACAACAATTTGACTTTACCCTTTATTGCATGAGACTAATTGAGAAAATGAAGAAGTATAATTTGCAAATCACATGTTGTATGTAGCTTTCATGATTCCAACTTTTCCCCAACACAAAAAAGAAAAAAGAAAAAAAGAAGCACAAACTGATACGAAGAGAAGTTAATATCAATTACCAATCTTGAACTTCAGTTAACACCCAAAAACTGGTTAAGATATTTATTATAACTTGAGAAAAAAGACTAAACAAAATTAGCAACCAGTAGCTTTCCTGCACAACTCTAAAAGAAACACACAGATTTATGGCAAAAGAAGAACTAATTTCTCAAATATATTAGTTGACTTTAAAATGAGTGCAAAAGATGCATTAGTAAAATTGAATCTAGTTGGATTTAATTCTTTGTAAGTGAAGTTATCATAATTAAATTGAAATAATACAATAAAGAGAATTGCTCACCATTTGGTCAACCAGTACACACTGTAAACAGGTATTGATCATCTGATCCGATAAGTTTTGGTCGCCATATTCTACAGACTCGAACTTTGATCTTCTTGTTAAATTGGAATGGTTCCAAACCACGAATGTGAACGAAACTCATTGTATTATAAAGCTGAAAATAAAATATATTTTTTGTTAGTATAAAAAGGTATGCAGGTATTTATCAAAAGTGACAGTAAAAATATAGAAATGTTTAACTATGAATAGATCAAAGTTGAAACCTGATAAGTACAAACAGAAAAAAAAATCAGCCACACAGAAAATCTACAACCACGCGCAAACAGAAATTCTATAACATCTATTAGAATTATAATTCTGATCTGGAGTCATTAAAAAAAGAAAAAAAAAAAAAAAAAAAGGAGGAGTCTATAAACACACGCAAAAAGGAAATCAGCCACACAGACATCAATTACCAGATTGGTGAGCAGACTGGGGGTTCTCATATTGATTACTTCAGTTCTTTTTCCTTAGATCTTCCTCCCTGTAACAACAAACCAAACTCAATTTCTGATTTACTTCTCAATTTTCGACATGACAAATGAATAAACCAACCTAGAAAACCAAAAGAAAGTTAAAACCAACCTTGAAAACCAAAAGAAAGTTAAAACCAACCTTGAAAACCAAAAGAACGTTAAAACCAACCTTTTTTTTACGAAACCTAGAAATCCCTTTGAGCTAAACCCGTGCGATGAGAAGAAGGATGAAGCGCAGCTGGAACGGCAACACTCGAACGCAACATCTGAGAGGAAAACCGATGAGATAAAGACCAAAAGGGCGGCTGGATTCGCAGCGCGCCTCCCCAAAAGAAAATCGACGGCCCCCCACGCATGCAGAACAGTGAACTCTGATCTTCCATGGCTGCCCTCAACCAGCCCAACCAGCTGGTCCGAAATGGACTGGAAATCTCTGAGCGAACGAAACATTCACAAGGGAAGAGATGCGAATGGGAAGGGGCAAAAAGGGAAGAGAAGAAAAGGTTTAGTGGAGGGCATTTTCGACAATTCACTGTTCTGAAGAGAAAACAAAACGTGTAACAACAGTAAAATGAGGGGCATTATCGTAATTACACTGTGCTTAAGAACAGTGTTTAGTTGGATTGCCGTTTAGTATATATAATTTGCTGAGGAAGCTGCCCAATATGTTTGGACCAAATTGAATCGCGAATCGTCAAGTGATTTAAAGGGTCTCGTTGGAATTCAAAGACAAATTAAGAAAGTCACTTTTTTAACCAAGAAAGAGGACGGATCATTTTTATTAAAATTTTATATATATATATATAATCGCGAATCGTCAAGTGATTTAAAGGGCCTGTTGACTAATATCCAACTGATCTCACTTTTATGACATGAACTCGACCAAATTTTTGTCTTTCTCTAAGTCCATTTTTTTCGATGATACTTTTACTCACTAGGATGAGTAATGAACATCATCATCATATAAATAAAGTTAAATGAATGTAATTTAATATACACAATACATAAATCTAAAGAATTAAATTCATAATCCGGGAAATTAGCAAGTTTAACTGCACCATAAAAATTCATGTTATTTTTGGGTCAATCCGCCAAAATACCTATATAACCCATTTTTTAAACAGGTCGTGTCCAAAAAACTTGAAATTTCTGCCCGCATACTCATAAATTTTATCTCCACACTCTCGTATCATAATTTGAAAAGTACAACATTTGCTAGCTCAAGGTATTTTAGAACCTCTTAAAGAGAAGTATAATTGTTATAATAGTTTCTGTTATTCAGGTGTAGAGATCAAATTTTATGGATGTGAAATAGAAGCCCACTAAGCTAATGGATAGATAAATAGGATGGAGCGAATTGTGATCCATTGCTGGTACACAGTACTTTGTTGTGTCCAATTTTCCAACTTGAACTCCATTGCTAGGATCTCCTTTTGATTGGTAACATCATCAAAGTGTAATTTCTCAAAGGCTCAACGTAAAAGTGTTATAAGTGACATCTAGATTTCTGGTAGGATCATGTTGCGGAACAAAATGGCAACATATATTGACATTTGTGATTATTTTTTTTTTGGTGAGAGACATTTGTGATTTGATGCTACTAATTTACGATGATAAAGTTTTGGTGGGTTTGAAAGTTCAGTGCTCAATCATATGCTTTGAAAGAAGGGCATATTAACCAGAACAAGTCCAGCTCACCCCTTTATGTTTCCTCCACATGACCGACATCTTGGAAATGTTAACGCCAATACTCACATAAATGCATCATACCCCACAACAACAACATGATCATCATCTTCTTGTGCTAGGTGTACACGTACGACCACGAACTCTTTTTTTATATTTTTATTTTTAATACAAGTAATATATGGGAGGAGGAAATACAACCTAAGACCTCGGGTGCAATGCTGGAATAAATACTATTAACCACTTGAGCTATAAGGACCACCACAAACTTTCTTATAAACTTCTCTCTCTCTTTTTTATGCTTGGTTTCTTTGGTGTGTGTAGCAATTTAAGTGATGTCCTTTTCCTTAGGCCACATTGTATACAACTCACTGTACGTACATTTCAGTGGATTAGTTGCATTGAGAAGAGTTGCTTCTTTCATGGTGTCTTGCTTCTTTGATGAAATAAGAGACAATTTGGAAGCAATTTGATGAAATAGGAGACAGTTTGGAAGCAATTTCTACTAAACCATGCAATGTTTTTCTTCAATTTGCTCAGGTGAGAAGCTAGCACAGTTCTTAGCCTTGTTCCCAATCCTGTACCTATCGGGCGGCACGTGTGTGGCTCTGATCGTCCTTGAAGGGTCAACAGCAAAGATGTTCTTCCAAATTGTGTGTGGACCAACATGCACTGTAAAGTCCCTAACACCGGCGCAGAGTGGTACTTGGTGTTTATACAGTCGTAGCTTCGATTCTTTCTCAGAGTTCCATGGCTGCATAAGAAAAGTTGAACTCCATTGCTAGAGTGTCTCTTGTTGGTGCCATTTCTGCTATTGGCTACTCCACATTGATCTGGGTTGTGTCTCTGGACAAGGACAAGCTTCCCAATGTGTCTTATGACCCCTTGAAAGCCGACAAACAATACATCCATTTTTTTGATGTTCTTAATGCCCTTGGAATGATTGCCTTTGCCTTCAGAGGCCACAACCTTATACTTGAGATCTAGGTATGTTCATTAATCTCACAATTTCAATTGTATAGTTGTTTAATTAATTATCAAACCCTTTCTCTTCCTTAATAACAGAAAATTATTTTAGAACCCGACTCTCTGTTTTTTTAAATGAGAAACAGAATTTGTCGATGATAATTTGGTCTAGTGATACATAGTTCCGAGTTCAAATTGAGTAAAAGTTATATATAAAAAAATTGAGAGAGTGAAGACAAAATATTGAAGTTCATAGAGCATCTTATTCCCTTGATTCAATTTATTAGAAAATTAGCATATATTGGCCTTAATGTCAAACAAGTGGATATTTTTAAATTCTTCTCGTCCAAATTTTGTTAATTAGTGTTACCCATGTGAACGAATTATTTTAATTGTGGTGCCTACAAATTAGGTCTTCGTCTGCATGACAGATGAAACTTCAACTTGTGTTGAATATAGTTTTTAAGCAAATCAAATCGAGTGCGCCAAATTATTAAAAAATAAAAATAAAATAGTTGTCTTTACTGATGATCGTTTATGATATGTTGACCAACTGATGTTGAAGCTGCAACTACAACATAAAGCAACTTTCATACAGGCCACAATGTCGTCCAGAGAAAAACATCCATCACGCGTGCCCATGTGGAGAGGAAAAAGCGAGAGACTGAGGCAACCGAGAGAAGAAAGAGAAAACAATA